ATATTAAAATTTCAGCCAATTTGGATTAGTAGTTCTTGAGAAATTGCTTAAAAACAATAAGTAATTATATTAAAAAAATTACTTGCAATTTCTTAAGAGCTACTAATCAAAATTGGCTGAAATTTTAATATGTTGTAACCCAATATCACTTCTATCTCTGGTAAAAATTTAATCTAATTTTAATTGGTAGTTGTGGAGAAAATTACAGCCAGAGGTAATATAAATATAACTATAAAAATAACTATAAGAATTAAACTATATATATTATTTGCTTGAATTTGATTGACTAATTTAGTATTAGGTATGGGGGAGGGAGGGTACCCTCTTAAGAGGTAGAAATTACCTGATAAATGTCCCCACCCTAACTGCAACACCCAATAACAAAGCAACTGGCCTCTCACTTATTTTTAATAAAATGCTAAAGAAACTCTCACATATTGCAATACTAATACTAGCCAAGATCTTCAATGCCTGTATCAATCTACAAACAACACCCTTACTATGGCATAAAGGTCTAGTTTACCCATACTAAAAAAAGGATACCAACCAGGAAACCTCTCTAAGACTCACTTTATAACACTCATTGAGCACATCAAAAAAATCTTCACTAAAATTATTACATCCATATCAACACTATTCTCATATACAATGATCTGCTCGATCCCGCAAACAATATTGCACTTTCACTAACCTTTTTATCCAACACATTACTCATCTACATAAAGATGCATACATAAATAAAAATGAGCTTTGGATACTATTACAAGATATGTCCAAAGTTTATAATACTATATACATACTACTGTTATGTAAAAGATCAGTTTTTTCTCTATCTCTCTGCTCTAGATTCAAGAATCTGGCTTCAACCTCTTCTTTGTCTTGTTTTAATTTTGCATTCTCAGCTTCGGCTTTAGTATTCTTAGCTTCAAGCTCTTTCTAAGTTCGCTAATCTCAACTGTAAGCTTGGTATTTAATTCTCTTAGTGAAATAATTGTATATTGTGTGTTTGCCATCGTTTTATATAAGGTGCAGACATATTCAATTCTTTATCATATAGATATAAATCACGTGATAAAAATCCCTGAACTAAGTTCAGGAAGTGTAAAAATGTCAAGAAAAATTCTTGATAATTATACCCAATAATATTAATGTATCCAGATTAATCTCAAAAATACACTTGTAAAAATGATAAATTCACGAAATACACATGCAAAAGTAAACGCGATTATGTATGCGAAATTGGCCATTTGATATAAAATAAAAATAAAATACTGGATAAAAATATACATACTCTAAAAATCTTTTTATCTATGAATTTTTTGGCGGAAAATATGCCTAATAAATGAAGACAATCTAATGGGAGACTTTTTAATTTGATTTATCTTTTTTTTTAATTCTCGTGCACTAGATTAAGGATTTAAATAAGATTAGTGGTTTATTTTAATCCTCATGTACTAGTCCAAGGAATTTATAATCAATTCTCATAATAGCCCAATAAAGTGAAGCATTTATATTCTTAAAATTATGTACAGTATATTAAACAATTGAGAATATTCATATATTTCACGGTAAGCTTTTAATGACTCGGTAATTAACACATTGAAGATATGGCATCGAATAAATAAAAGCACTTGTCCATTACCAAAAATTAATACCGGTAAAGTCTTTTCTAATACTATACTTTATCCGGCAAACTCATATGATCATGAAAAAATTTCTTCTTGTTATTTTTTTCATGTGTTACGATATAATTATGTTATTCCAATATTCAAAAAATAAAACTCAGCGAGCGACTCCCTACCAATCATGATCATAAATTGCCGGATAACACCAATACTGGGCAAATTGTTGAATACGGTAATTTGGCTCAAACGGACAAATGATTGGCTGACACGTGCCGCTGCGCGGCACATGTCAGCTAATCATTTGCCCGTTTGAGCCAAATTACCGTTATTCAACAATTTTTGCCCAGTATTGTATACATACTCCATCGGTGTATATTTCTATTGAGCTAAAAAATTAAATGCTATTTTAGATGCAAAAAACTGCAATATTAACAGATATTGCAAAAATCCAAAAATCTGGCGACTGATATAAATTCACGATGAAATTTAACATATCAAATGATTAGTTCAATAAAGTATGTGTTTAGTAATTTTTCTAATTCAATACAAATTAGTTATTTGATTTGATTATATGTATCTCAAGATAAGAAACAGGAAAATATCTCGAATAGATATTGATATACATAAGATATGTTATTGCCCACTTCGTGAATAGTAACTGATTTATTCCTCGATCCTTAATATGCATTTTAAAATTAAACTTACTATAAAGTTTAGCTTTATTATAATCACAAGACTTCTTTCATTTTCTTCATTTTTTTATTTAGTCAGCAACTTTTACTTATAAAAAATATGAGGGACGGCTCTCTCTAATGTCAAATACAATTTATTGCATGTTGCCTGTTTGATATATAGGAATAAATCATGATCTTACAAAATATAGTATAAATCGTGATCTTACAAAATATAGTAATAAATCATGATCTTACAAAATATAGAAATAAATCATGATCTTACGGAGCGAATGGTACTGTACATCCTATGATTCTGGAAAAATAGCACATTTCATAAATCTAGACACAATTTATAATAAAACATTTCATGATTTGAGCTACACATATGAAGAGAGACAAGTGATTCGCGTTTATTTCATTATTTGAAAATCATAAATTACTTATAGCGCTTATCTACGAAGAATATCATCGAAATTTTCAACATCGACTGGATTAGTTGCACTTATCTTGGTGATTCTAGTGACAGAATGGCAAATATCAGGAACTCCTACCTGATGGCGGGTCCTTTATCAAAAAAGGTAATTAATAAACTGATGCTATAAAATATCAAAACACGAAACAAATAACATCTAAAATACCATGCAGGTATTTGATTTACCCATCTACCAATTGCCGTGCCATTTGGAAATGTAAAAACGGTATCATCCCAATTTACGGCGCGATTTGCCACGAGATTTGCCGCCTTTGTCTGACCTAGAATTCCATTTCGACAGTTCGGCATATTAGGAACATCGTTAAAACCAGCATCGTTCCATTGAAAGACAAGTGCCGGTATATCCTTTTTTAATTCACTTAAGAGAATAGTTGCGACCTTAGGATCTTGAAGGGCTTCAGGAAGCTCAGCTGGTTCTAAAATGTAAGAATGCCATTATTTAGCCAACAGTTTTTACCTATCCATACCACATTTATGTGCAAGTATTACAACGTTTATTTCTTTAACTGATTGTGATATAGGATCAATCAAAAACCCTACACAAATGTTAAAGAAGAAATTCAATACCTTTGTGAAAAAATTTTTGAAAGTTTGTCATTTTTTTGTGATGATCAATGATAAACGAATTTTTTTTGTATAATGATTTCATTCTTAAGTATAACAGAGTTTCATTCTGATTGGTTATTAAAATGTTCCTATAAAACGCTTTGGTCAATGCCAAATTTCGATGTCACTTATGAAACAGAGAAATCGGACGTCTAATTTTAAAACAAAGGCTTTATAATTTAATAAACTCTATGGGATTGGAATTAATCAGAATATCGCAGACTAATTTATTCCAATAACGGTCGGGTATCCTTAGTATCCATCGTGGATCAGAGTAAAATAATTGGTGTTTCTGGCTAAATTACTTTCTAAAATCCGCAATAAAAAATAATTTCACCGGAGCGAAATAATTTCGGCTGCATTAGCATTTGTCACTCGACCTGATAGGGTCAAGCAAATCCCGAGCTGTAGATCACTGTAGATTCTTTCCGATCTGATTCCGGAGCCCAAATATTCACCAATCAGAATCAATTAAATTGTCGAAAAATTTTGATTTTCTTTAAACTTCTAGCGATGATTTCTCAGTAACCATTCGATAAAATTTAGTAAACCATTTTTTATTTTGATTCTATAGATTTATAAAATTAAAATAAAAAAAAGTTCATTATTGCGCTTTGCAAAAAGATGTGGCTTCTGCAGATCACAGTGTCATGTGAAAATCGGAGATTCTGCAGATTTTAAGAATCTTACCAATTTCAAATAAATATAAATATAACTGATCGAAAATATTAATTAATAGACAATTTAGAATCTCAGAAATTTTCCTCGTTCATCATCACAAAAATCATGGGGTCACATCTTTTTGCAAAGCGCTATAAATTTGGTTTAGTGGTTGTTGAGAAACCTTCGTTAGAAGTTTGAAAAGCTTGAAATATCTTGGAAAGAATATCTAAAATCGGCAAATTTTTTCTTTTTGAAATTTTAAACAGTGATTTCTCAACACCCATCTATTCAAATCAATGAACATTTTTTTATTTTGATTCTACAAGTGCGTAGGACTAAAATAAAAATTTTTATCGAATTTGAATAGATAGATGTTGAGAAATATTGATTAAAAGTTAAAAAAAAATTTGGCTGCAGCTTTTTTTTTACGGACATCTAAAATTTAAACGAAAATTCGATCAACATTTTTTATTTTAATTCTATGAGATTATAGAATTAAAATAAAAAAGATTTGACCGAATATGATCAGGTAAGTGTGGAGTAACCTTCGTTCAAATTTTAGATATCCGTAAAAAAAAGCTGCAGCCAACTTTTTTTTTAGCTTTTAATCGATATTTCTCAACACCTGTCTATTTAATTTCAGTAATATTTTTTATTTTAATCATACATACTTGCAGAATCAAAATAAAAAAATTCATTTAATTTGGATATATGGGTGTTGAGAAATCATCGTTTAAAGTTTTGAAAAAAATTTAAGAAAAAGAATATTGCAATAAAATTATTTATTTAAACTTCAATTGACGATTGCTCAACAACCATCTATCCAAATTAATTGAATTTTTTTTGTTTTTATTCTGCAAGTTTGCAAGATTATAATAAATAAAAAAAATTGCTAAAATTGAATAGACAGATGTTGAGAAATATCGATTAAAAGTTGAAAAAAATTTGACCGCAGCCTTTTTTTTACGGATCTCTAAAATTTGATCGAACTTACCTGATCATATTCGATCAATTTTTTTTATTTTAATTCTATAATATCATAGAATTAAAATAAAAAAAATTGATCGAATTTGATTAGATAAATGCCGAGTTATCTTCGTTCAATTTTAGATATCCATAATAAAAAAAGCTGCAGTCAATTTTTTTTTAGCCTTTAAACAATATTTCCCAACATCCATCTATTCAAATTCGGTAAAATGTTTTTTATTTTAATCCTACCTACTTGCAGAATCAAAATAAAAAAAAATTCATTGAATTTGTATAGATGGGTGTTGAGAAATCATTGTTTAAAATTTCAAAAAAAATTTACCAATTTTAGAAGCTTTTTCAAAACACCTAGCGAAGGTTTCTCACCAACCTCTAAACCCAAATTCTATGAACTTTTTTTATTTTAATTTTATAAATCTATAGAATCAAAATAAAAAAGGTTTACTAAATTTGAACGAATTGTTACTAAGAAATCATCGCTAGAAGTTTAAAGAAATTGAATGTTTTGGCTCCGGTGTTACATTAGAAAGTCAGGTTTCCTCTAGTACCAGATGCTGCAGTTATGCATGCCATAAAGGTGCATGATCTGCAAAATAATGTGTAAGTAAAGGCACAGAATACATTGCGTTTTGTAAATAGCAGCGAAACTAACCAAGTGGTTTGCTTGAATGTAAAGAATAAATGAGAGATGTATTAGTCGTAAAATTAGAAGCACCAACAAGAGAATGGAGTAGAAATAGATACTTTCCCTAAAATATGTATAAAAAGCTCTTGCTTTTTTCTTACTCCAGATAGAACTTCCTTAGTATAGAATTCTTACCCATAAAAATAGTTATTTTTCTTATCTTTTTTATATTTGTTAGTTACCTTATCGGTTAGATAAAGTAACCATGTTTTTATACACATTAAATTTCTTATTTTTTTAATAAAACTTATTTGAACGTTATCATGTAACCATGTGATTTAGAATGTCCATTGTTAACATTATTGATATTAAACATATAATACAACCTTATATATTCTCATATATATCTGCGTTGTGCCTTTTTCGATCAAGCCTTATACAAATTCTCTTTGTTAAGTCATAGAATTGGCTTACATCTTTACCATTTACCTTCCACATCACCTTCAGTATAGCCTTGATACTATATCGTCCCCGTCCCTTAAGAGTCTTAGAGGATTAACTTTTGGGTATGACATTTTTGGTAGTGACTGTGAGATTGAACTCTCTTGTCATCTAAATATTGGGATCAAGTTTTCCCCTATATAAAAAAATTAATTGTTGAAAGTTGCATAGATTTAATGCATGAATTTTAGCTTAACCAAGAACACAGGACCAATAGATCACTTAACTTTGCATACATACAATAAAGTAGACTCCTGTGAACTCTGCTATCTCCTTTCTAAAAAGATATCCAAAACCTTTTACCAATTTGTGAATTAGTATACCCCACTTATTTTGCAAAACTCTATATATCGAAAACGTATATTGTAAATGGCCATATAGACGACCTGGGTATATTACATTCTACCAATTAAAAAACTTGAATTATACCCAGGGGTATATTGTTCGGAGAGGGGGTATAGTAATGGTGGATTTCTTCTTGTTAAATATAAATTACTAATAAAAAACACTGGGTCTCTTACATTTCACTAAATTTTTAACCCTGGTTTAGACCCAGGTATATTAGTAGGGGATCTACTATCAAGGGGGGTCTTTTATATAGCCATTTACAGTAGTTACTTTAAGGACCTAGAGACTGCAATTCAACAACCCCAGTCCTCGTGTTATAGAAATATAATTACAAAGTTAAATTTAGTATTACATATATACAAATTTCCAGAAACTTCATAGAAATACTTAAAGTAGTCACAAATGTAGCTTTACATACCCAGTGCTTTTAAACTGACCCGTTCACCCTTATTACCATGACTGCAAATACAGTTAGTATATCCACTCCTTTGGCCAAAGATGTGCTAGATTATCTAAAAGACAATCAAAAAGAAAATATTTTGATTAGAGTAGATTTCTTCAAGAGAGATAGTACCCAAGACCCCCTAATGTGGATGGAAAACTTTGAAAAGGTGGCTGCAGCCAACAATTAGAGCAAAAAAAGAATGAGGCAAATCTTGTCAGTCTTTATGAAAGATGCTGCAGATAATTGGCAGCTAACATATTATGATAACAACAAGCTGACCAATGACTCAGCAGTGGATTGGGATGCTACAAAGAAAGTATTCAAAAAACATTTCTGCAACCAATATTTGAAAAATGTTTGGAGACAAGAAATAACTGCCTCAAAGCAACTGCCAGAAGAATCGGTAGATGCCTACCATGGTCGTTTTAGAAAGATAGTAAACAGAGTAGGACTTGATAATGCCTTGTTAGCTGACGATCAACTCTACTACTTCAAAAAGGGTCTAAGGTCAGATATGTTGCCTATAATATTAATGCATAAACCCACCATAATAGATGCAACCTTAGAGTTAGCCAGGAATCACGAGCATGGGACAGACTTTGCCTACAATGCAAACCCGAGCCAACCTTCCGGGTCTAAAAATTATGAAAAACAAATCGAACAGTTAACAAAGCAAATAAAGCAGATGAGTCTTAATTATGCTACCATTGCTTCAGCCTTGTTAGCACGAGTTGAAAAAAAAGATACATTTAAACAATCATTATCTTCTCAGGAAAAAAAAAAAAATTACTTGCTTTAGATATGGTGAAGTAGATCACTTCGCAAACAAGTATATGTTCGAAAAACCAAAGGACATGGCCTACCAAATACTAAAGAAACCTAATAATGACAATAACAGTAAAAATATTAATTTAATAGATCTAGTCACAGATGATGAGGTGGAAAAAGTTTATATAAACTGCCCTCAACCTTATTACACAAATAGAAAAGAACAAAAAGAAAAACAAAAACAAGTTAAGGCTCAAAAGGAACAAAGCTTACCAATTAAAGCACCTACGGACCTGGTGCAAGATATAGAAGATTTTATAGAGTTTGAAAATACTCCAGTAAAAAAAATCATCAAGAAAAGATTACCTTCTGAAGTAGACAAACTCAAGCCCTATAATATAGCAGAGGACTTATTGTCTATGCCCACCGGAGCCACATTAGGACAACTATTGCAATATCCTAACCAAAGAAGAAACCTGGCAATTATACTTAGACGAAAAAAGGCCCAAACACAGAAGCCAACTTAGTAAAAGCAGAAGAAAAACGCAAGACTATTGCTATGTGGTGCCATGTGTGCATTAAGAAGAACCCCGTAGTAACTATATTAGATTCTGGTGCTACTATAAGCATCATTACCAAAAAACTTATAGACAAATTGGGGCTAGATATAGATAAGGTATCAAAAACTATTGTTATAACAGCCAATGGTAATAGAACCAAGGCTCTGGGAATAATTAGTGAAAGTCCTACAGGACCTTATTATACCAATAAACCTCCAGATTATAGATTCACAGAAGGAGACCTTATTATTAGGCACAGACTGGTTTGATAAGTCATATACCAAACTTGATTTTGACAATAACACAAACAAGTTACAGTAAACATGACTCATATAAGTGGCAATGGCTATAAGTATGACCTAGAAGAATTTATCAACAAAGAAGACTGGATAGATGAACTAGAACAAGACAATGAAGTTCATTAAGCCTTCTATAGTGAGCTATCTTTTAAAGAAAAAGAAGACCTATATTATAACCCATAGACAGAGGATAACCTGGCAGTTTATTTAACAGAAACAACAATGCAAGAAGAAAAAGAAAAGGATACAAGGGCATTTGAGATAAACCCAAACCTCAACCCGAGACAACTACAGCAAGCTGAGGACTTGTTGATAAAGAATGCGAAAGTTTTCATAGAGAAAATCAGTAAAAACAGGCAAACAGTTGGTCTAGGACAGACCAATCTAGTATGCCATGAAATAGAAACAGGTGCAGCAAAGCCAATAAAGCAATACCCATATACCATGGCCTGTGACGAACAAGAATTTTTAAAGGATGAAATTCTAGCTATGGAAAAACAAGAATTTCTAAAGGATGAAATTCTAGCCATTGAAAAACAAGGTATTATTTTCACAATTAAGAGCCTCTGGACTTCCCCAGTAGTCCTAGTACCTAAAAAGAATGGAAAAAAGAAAATATGTATTAATTACCATAAGTTAAATATAGTTACAGAAAAAGACATATATCCCTTACCGAATATCAACGAAGTCCTATCAGAATTTAAAGGAGCCAAGTGGTTTACTAGCTTGGACTTGGCTAGTGGATACTGGCAGGTGGCAGTGTGAGAAGAAGACAAAAAGAAAACAGCCTTTATAACCAAGTTGGCATTTACGTGTTTAATGTAATGCTATTTGGTTTGTGCAATACGCCTTTGATCTTTCAAAGACTAATAAACAACATACTGAATCCGTTCATTAACAAATTTATTGTTGTTTACTTAGATGACATAGTTATTTACTCTAGAACATTTGAAGAGCATGTGAAACATTTGTAACAAGTCTTCGATGAAATTAGGAAAGCTAAACTAAAGTGTAACTTAAAAAAATGTTCATTTTTCCTAAACAAAATTAAATTTTTAGGTCACATAGTAAGTGACCAGGGGATTTATCTGAACAAGAAAAAACTGGATAAGATAAAAAACTTTTTCATACCAATTAATATTAAACAAATATGATCGTTTTTGGGACTTGCATCATATTACAGAAAGTTTATTAAGAGATTTTCAAAAATAGCAAAACTCTTAAATAAATTACTAAACAGAGATAAACCCTATATATGGATGAAAAATCAAGAGAAGGCTTTTTAAACTTTAAAGAAATGTCTAGTTACAGCCTCAATATTAAGGTACCCAGATTACAATAAACTGTTCTATCTATACACAGATATATCCACCTCTGGGTTAGGCGCTGTTCTGGCCCAACTTGACAAAAACAACAAAGAATATGTTGTTGCTTATGCTAGTAGAAGCGTAAGTAAAACTAAAAAAAATTATTTAATTTTAGAATTGGAATGTTTGGCTATCATATAGGCAGTTAAACATTTTCATTAGTACCTTGGAGCCAAACCCTTTTATCTTATAACGGACCACTCAGCTCTATAGTAGTTAAGAACTTCTGAACTTAAAGGGAAGTGTGTTCAGTAGATTATGCACTTAGAGCCATATAACTTTACTATTATACACCACTCCGGCCAAAAACATAGTAACACCGATACCCTTCAAGAATGTATATTCAAGAAAACAAAGATTAACAAGAAGTATATATGGTGAAAACAGAAGACAATGAATCAGTTAAAAGTGAGATCACAGTAAAATTTATAGGTGACTGATTCGTACCTACTGATGACGAAAGTAAAGAACCTCTGCAAAAACTAAAATTGCAGAAATCAGGTAAACAAATTAATAGGAGGACAGTTGAAGAAAATCACAGAGAAATAGTAAAGAAAACTTTAAGTTACAATTTACCAAAGGGCTTGACAGAATACCTCCATCCTTATGAAGATGTTAAGTTTACTCCAAAGGAAATCTATTATAATAAATAGCATTGTACCTGGTATTATATCAAACATATTAGTGATCGATTAAACCAGAAGACAAAAAGAAAACATTTAACCCGAAATTGGAAAAGACCAACAGCCCAATATTAGTGTGGTGACAAGTTGTACTCACCATCTGATGAGTGTAGTAAGTGCCATAGTGACCTAAACTGTGAATTACTTTGAAATGGTTCTCAGTTGATAAAGTTACAAAAAGCTATTGGGAAACTCCAACTGATGATAAATCGATGGACTACTACCACAAAAATGATTATATGTGGAGCGATGATGAAACCATCAATAGCTTTACTAAAAGTAGTATCAACCTTATTGATGATACTCCAATAGAATTATGGGAAAATGACAGCATTAGTGAAAACTTATTACTGGACTTCACTGATAAAAATGGGGAAACACAATACCATTTCTAACAGACCTAAATAATTTACTTTGGTGGTTAGACTTATTAGAGAAACCATCTGAATATTATTATAGAGAATTTAACAATTTCTCTAATACTTATCTATGTAACTCAATTTGGTAAAAAACTGCCAATCCAGTTAAGTACCTTTAAGGTACAACTGACCTCTCACCTGTTCTGTCTACAAAAAACAAAAAACTTTGCAAGTCGGTCACTACTACCGATATCACAACTTCCTGAAAATTATAAGATAGAAGTAAGATATAAAATACAATATCAATAAACAATCAACACTATTTTTTAAAAAAAAAAAAAATGGAACTAATTAAATACAAACAGATTAAACAATACTTAGAGATGGCACAATACCCGCCCAAATTCAATAAACAAGAAAAGAAACAATTAGAGATACAAAGTAAATTCTATATCTTAAATAACTATATACTTTATAAGAGGGATAGAAGGAAACAAACAAAAAATTAGATGTTGAGGGTAATACAGCAACATGAAGTAGAACCCATATTATATATCACACATACCCATCCACTAGGAGCCCATCTTGGGGTAGAAAAGACCTTTGAGAAAATAAAGAATCATTACTACTGGCCTCAGATATACAAATATATCAAGACCTGTGATGTATACCAAAGACACAGAAAATACAGAACTCGTGGCCCCTTACAACCCATACCTGTCGAAGCGCCTTTTCACAAAATTGGTATAGACTTTGTAGGACCTTTGGATCTAACCACAAAAAGAAATAAATACATTATTGTGGCAGTTAATTATATGACTAAATGGCCTGAAGCAAAAACAGTGCCTGCTGCTAATACCCAACAGACCGCACAATTCATCTTTGATGAAATCGTATGTAGACATGGATATCCATCTTACTTAATATCCGACAGAGGCCTGCACTTTAATAATGAAGTAATAAGGTTTATAGTTAGAAATTTTGAAATCAAACACTTATTGTCCATGCTATACCACCCACAGGCCAATGGGCTGGTTGAAAGGTACAACCGTACTTTATGCGAGTTTTTGGCAAAATTGATCAAACAAGAGCAAGAGTAGAATACCTTTATACCTTCAGTGTTCTACGCCTATAGAACTAGTAAGCAATCCACGACTAAATTTATACCATTCTACTTGACCTATAGAAGAGAAGCGTAATTTCCTAACTTCCTAGAAGAAAATAATATACAAGAAAATATAGTCAACCGATTAATCACGATCATTGATGACCTACCTAATAAAAGAGAAGTTGTGAAAAATAATGTTAGAAAAGCCCAAAATAGACAAAAGTTTTACTGGGGCAAAAAGCTTAAACAAGTATTAAGAATTTTTCAGAATAGAGATAAGGTACTTTTATTTAATGCCGCTCAAATAGAGCGTTATACTGGAAAATTCTTACTGCAGTAGCTTGGACCTTTCATCATACATAATCATGTTGCACAAGATATGTACCAATTACGTACGTTAGATAGTCAAATTCTTGACATACTACGGAATACTCTACTCTTAAAACGATATTATGAAAGGTTTATTTGATGTGGATGCATCAAATTAGCAAATTCAAAAAGCATTGCAGAAAATTACTACAATTGCTCTTTTGAAAGCATTTGCTATGGGTCATTGGCTATATATACCAAAATTTGGGTTGGTATCATCAGCTGATGCTGGTGATGTCAATAGTGTATTTATAGAGGGTGGCTGTTAACTACAACTAAGAATAATTATAGTATCTTGACTCACAGAGCTCGTTATTAGTTAGGGAAAAATTGTTATATTAGAAAGTCGGATTCCCTCTAGTACCCGAATGCCACAGTTATGCATGCTATAAAGATGCATAATCTGCAAAATAATGTGTAAGTAAAGGCGCAGAATACATCACGTCTTGTAAATAGCAGCGAAACTAACCAAGTGGTTCACTTAAATGTAAAGAATAAATGAGAGATGTATTAGTTGTAAAATTGGAAGCACCAACAAGAGAATGGAATAGAAATAGATACTTTCCCTAAAATATGTATAAAAAGCCCTTGCTTTTCCCTTACTCCAGATAGAACTTTCTTAGTATAGAATTCTCACTCATAGAAATAGTTATTTTTCTTATTTTCTTTATATTTGTTAATTACCTTATTGGTTAAATAAAGTAACCATGTCTTTATATATATTAAATTTTTTATTTTTCTAATAAAACTTATTTGAACATTATCACGTGATCACGTGATTTAGAACGTCCATTGTTAACATTATTGATATTAAACATACAATACAACCTTATATATCCTTATATATATCTGCATTGTGTCTTTTTTGATCAAGCCTTATACAAATCCTCTTTGTTAAGTTATAGAATTGGCTTACACCTTTACCATTTACCTTCTACATCACCTTCAGTATAGCCTTGATACTATATTGTCCCCATCCCTTAAGAGTCTTAGAGGATCAACTTTTGGGTATAATACCGGAATCAGATCAGAAAGGATCTACAGTGATCTGCAGCTTGGAATATGCTTGACATAAGGGTACCCCAACCTGATACAAATAAACATGCCTATGTAATACACATATCACTTAAATTGTAACACAGGCAAATTTGCCTGTGTTTTTATTAAAAAGTTTAATTTTTTTAATAAAAACTTATATATTA